CATTGAGCTATTCCACGCCGTAAGTTGTGTGAATTACCTCCAAACTTATTGTTAGACAAACCGACAGTCTGTGGCAGTCTGTAAACTTGTGTATATATGTTCGCGACTTGAGTTATAACAGGGGACACTGGGATAATCGCTGGAACCTTTCAACTGTCACGATTAGCGAGTAATTTTGTGCACTCTGTCTGCTCATTAAGCAAATAAATCACGTGGGTGCGATTTGTAGGTAATTATATCGAACTGGAAGCACAATGATGATCATGGCAGCACACAACCCTGTTCATAATTACCATGAAATCTTCACCTGCCACCTCGTGGCATTAATATATTTACACCTTTCAACGTAGTAATGAACATTAGGATATGAGATCAGTGGGTTCGCGGACTTGCGCGGTGATTGATGAATCTACTCATTCCACGCACTAGGAGGCCCAATATATAGCTAAGATTATGCGTGGTGCACATTCTGCATCAGTCTGTCTTGCATGTGTATCAGAATAGTCGCGATGATTGGTATGGATTATGTTAGACTGACAGGATGGTGTCATGTCAATTACGCCCTCGAGCGTTGTTGCGCACAACATGCCACCACACACGGCCCGTGTCAACAACTGGCATATATATATATATATATATATACCTGCGCCTGTAAGCCCGTAATCACTCGCCTGCTGCTATCGTTGGATCGCGCACAGCTTAATATGATGTTGCAGTCGGACCTTTATTGCTGACTCGGTCACACAGCTTTACCTTGCGCGCACATTTAATGTATAATCGGAAACTCGATGTATAATCGAATGCGTAAACTATCTAACGACGTCGGGTAGTTTTACTAGAAACGGACAGCAAGCAGCCGCTGAAACAGCAACGATTCAACGACTGATTCCGTGTCGCGCAACCGAGAGCTGACATAAATATTGACGCACACGCATACATACGCGCGCAGATTTCGTCACCGCGTTCCATTATCCCTCGTGAACATGACGGCAACGCAGTGCGTTATTACCGCGTTTGCCATATTGACGATATGCGGCAGTGCGCCCGACATATGCGGCCGAGGGACGGATAGCAATGACGGTTGTCGCGTCGCCATGGGACTGTTTGGCGTCGTCGACACACCGCTACCGTTTGGACTAGAGAACGTGGGTCCGGCCGTTGACATCGCGGTGGAGCGGGTTGCGACGGAGTACGGTATCATCTACGAGAAGCACGTGTACGCGTGGCCGGGATACTGCAACCCCGTCGAGGCCGTCGGCGCTCTCAGCATGCTGCATCACTCTCACCAAATACGCGTCAGCTTTGGACCGAGCTGCTCGAGCGACGTCGAGGCGGCCGGTCGCCTAGCGACGTATCTGCAGCTTCCGATGTACACGGGCGTCGGCGATCTGCTGTTTGGCAAGCGACAGTACACGTCGCTGTCGCGACTGTCGTATAATCTCGAGGAGCACCAGTCGGCGTTCCTGACGACCGTGCTCGCGCACTTCGCCTGGTTTCACGTCGCCATCATTTACGACACGTACGACATTCTGATGGCGCTGCAGGGCAAGGCGATGCGGGATGCGTTGGCCGGCAGTGATACGTACCCGCGTCCGTACGACATCACGTTTGACGCGAGTAAGGCAGTCAACCACGAGGAGATGCTCGTGGCGGCGGGGCAGAACGCCAGAGGTAGGAGAGATTGCAATCGACGCGTCAGCACATCGGAAGCAGTTCGAATCAGCACATCGGAATTCCACAATAGCTGACCGACAACGTGTGCTAAACGTGCGGTTGCTGTCCACGCGTTGGCTAATGTGGCAGAATTAGCGACCGCTGTGCGTGTGTGTGCGTGCGTGCGTGTTTGTGTGTGTGCGTGCGTGCGTGCGTGCGTGCGTGTTGCGTGTGTGTGTGTGTGTGTGTGTGTGTGTGTGTGTGTGTGTGTGTGTGTGTGTGTGTGTGTGTGTGTGTGTGTGTGTGTGTGTGACAAGCGACCGTACATTAAACGTAGCAGAAACACACTTGTTGTTCCCAAACAGCGCAATATATAGATGAAATTGGCGACTTTTTGATTCCAATTTCTGCGAGACGTGCTGGTGATGCGTGATGTTGATTTTAATAATATGTTAATAATCTTTCAGGATATCGCACCTGACAGCTTGTCAGAGAAGAATGAGTTCTGTTGCAAGTCCCTAATTAATAACACCTTACTAATTACTCTAACTAATTACTAATAACTCCTACTAATTAGCTACTATACGCATCGATATCAATTATCGTTTACTATTGCCTTACAGTCATCTTGATATTCGCCGATGGTGATAACGTCAGACAGTTTATGTTGCGCGCTTACGACCTGGGTATGACTGATGGCAGCTTCGCTTTCCTTACCATAGAGCTATTTCGAAGCTCGGCGTGGGGTTCCTTCTCTTGGAAACGAGGTAAGAGGCCGTACATATATTATTTATCGGGGGCGTACGCGCATGAGTGCGTGTCTGTGTACATATTATACGTGTGACGCCAGCGAGAGTTGGTATTTACCTATATATAATATCCTTACACTTTTAATTATTTATGAGGATTGGCTCAAACTAAAAGCATTTCCAGGTCACTGATAGAATGCGCACAACTTATGCATTTTCGGTTGTCATATCCTGGTTGCGTCACTCAAAGAAGGGAAGCCAGCAATGAGCTGGCTAATGTGCGTGAATGAATCGAGAATGGCGAATAACAGGAAATTGACGATGGAAATTAAGAGCATTGAAGGAGGTAGACAAAGGAAACTTGGTAGCAGGCTCCCTATTACTGTTTTCGCCTTCAATCTTCTCCCGGCTTCCTTTATACGTATAGTTTTCATTAGTACACAAGCTCTTCCTGTCCCTAGACTACTTTTTATCTACCACAACTGCTTCCTAACTAATCTATCTACCTAACTCCTCTCCCGATATTTCAACCTACTTCACTATCCCCCATTTCTCTTCCGCTTACGTGTTGCCCTTAATTGTATTCTATATCTACGATCATTCCTTTAAACTTTCTGGTGTCTCTGTTCTCTACAACTTGCCTCCATCTTCCCTTATTCTTCTCTACCGTCTACCCTGCTTTACCCTACACACGCCCTCCTAGCGCTCTATGAACGGTTAATGTACATGAAAACGTACAAAACATAGCCATTAATGATATATATATATATATATATATATAATTATGTATATATATATATATTTTATATATATATAATATATAATTCCGCATCCGGGACTGTCTGTAGTCTGACCATCATATTATGCAAATGAATAAAATTATTAATAAAAATTCATTGATGAAATGACTTTAGTGTATATCAATCATAGCTTTTGTGGTATGAAGAACCAGGGCAGTATATTTATTATATATATAGCATTTCATTTGTAACGTCGTGTAAAGCTGTGCGTGTGTCGCGTGTAACGTGGATGCTACACATAATAATAAATAATAGGACACATGTGTATAATTTGGTTAAACGTACTAATACGTATCCATTCTTTAATCATGTTTATTTCTCCTACTTTGTACCAGGCGATGAAAGAGATCAGCAAGCAAAGAAGGCATTTGAATCTTTGATGATCATCACGTTGGCCACTCCGAAGGGAGCCGCATGGGATAAATTTAGCAAGAAGGTCAAAGAGATAGCTCTTACAGACTACAACTACAACTTTACCGAGGAGGTGACGTCATAAAAGATTGCCGTTTAGCATCGTCCTTTCCTATCCGATTTCGTCCCCAAAATTCATTTCTTCTTCCGCCACTTTCCCATTTTGCTCTCCTGTACTCATTCCTTATTCAACTTTTCAGCTACTGCTTCTCACTTATATTATGGCTGTTACCAAAGGCTCTATTTAGTATCGGGTCGATTAGTTTTCGCGTTCACCATATTGTTCTAAAACTCTGAAAAGGAATTAATCAACATCAGAGCAATCCACGAGTGACGCGCGATATTAGATAGATAAGTGATCAATTCATCATCAGCGTGGCGTATTCCTCATGCCACAGCACCAGCTCAGGTTTTTGACAGATCGATATGCACAGCCATTCGATCTTCACAGCATTTCAACGAGAGCTTATAATAATATTATATTAATATAATATTATAAGCTCTTAATTTCAATTTAGTCTGTACGTGCAGGTTAATTACTTCGTCGGAGCTTTTCACGACGGCGTTATCATGCACGCTATCTCACTGAATAAGACCATCGAAGAAGGAGGAAACTTGTCTGATGGGCTGGCTATCGCACAGAAGATGTGGAACAGCACTTTCCCAGGTCTGTTTTTGCCTCCCAGCCTTTCGTCATGATCCGATTGTAGCTAAAAATTATAACCTAATAAAAACGCGTCTGTGTTGTTCGATCTGCTCCACATATCGTCACTGTGGCCAGTTTCGACTATCTCAGCGAAGAATAAAACTAGCTACTATAACGAAATCATAATAAAACACAAGTAAACCAATCGTTTCGATTAATATTATTTTGCCGCAAAACGGAATTGGCTGAAGCCATCCACGATAATATATATATATAGTGTATGACGATGAATTACGACGCCGAATAATGACGATATCAGACGCTGGCGAGCTATACGTAAATCGCGATCGTGATGACATCAGGAGTGTCATAATATAGATGATTATCATAGATAATATAGGTAGATAATAATATATGATTAAAATATAATATATATATATATATATATATATATAATATATATATATATATATTATCAAGAGTACATAATGGGAGAATTAATCTCCTATTATGTACTCTTGATAATATACATATACACTTTAGATATTATTAGCGCTTGACAATATATATTATACTATAATGTAATAATAATGTAGATTATAATAGTCTATATTATGACACTCCTGGTGACATCATGTGGTTGGCCGGCAGGTGTGACAGGTCAGGTTGCAGTCGACGATCAGGGGGACCGCATTGCCGACTACTCCTTGCTCGACATGACAGACCTGGAAGGTGGAACGTTTCACATCGTAGCGAACTATTACGGCGCACGGCAGAAATACGAGCCGGTGCTTGGATCACCTATCCACTGGCCGAACGGAGTTGTTCCGCCCGATGTGCCCCTGTGTGGATTCAAAGGCGACAGTCCGGCATGCTTGCCTAAAGGTTTGCTGTGTTCGCTCGCCACCTCGCGGCACCCCCGGTCTATCAACTTAAAAATAATTTACTGGCACACACAGAAAATGTCCGATTTTACATAACAGGATGTAAGTAGCATGGAATCTGTGTATCTGGTACACTTTCATACACATTACCTCACCAAACGGTGTTGCTGGTACATGCATGCGTACCTTCTCTGCGACTAACAACTCCGCTCAGTGATAATGCATGTGGTGTCTGTACATGTTTACTGGTTCTAAAACAACGTCATCGGTAATGCACATACATATATGCAAGAGCTAATAATACCTATTATTATAGGTATTATTAGCTCTTGATATATGTCATAGAAATTGCAGTGAATGGTTAAATAATAAAACATGTACTATAGCTTGCCGGTCTTTGCACCGAAAGCTGTAATTTCCACTGTGCCGACCTTTTTTTCGCTTCGTCATCGTGGCTGCGTAACGAGCAATTAGTTAGTCTCACCTTCTGTTGTCCCCTAGCTTTTGATGTTATTGCACCGAGGAGCAAAAACAGTGCTGGTAAGTGCACGAGCTGTGTTTTTTGACCAATAATCGTTAGCCATGAAGTGCGTTCTTCTACGCTGCAGAACTTTCACGCACATATGTCGCTTCGTGGACACAGCGACATGTAATCGACAGCTGCTGTCCACACTGCTCTCTTCGCGTCATTTGCGGAGACAATATCGCAGCGGCAGTAAAATTACAGCATACGCTGTCCCTGGATATGACATTACCTATATAGCGTAGAGATTTCAAAATGAGAATTTCTTACCAGATCATATACGATACTAGTACGTTGTAAGATGTTATAGTAGTGCGCTCTGTAGACGTTGTGGTATGTGACGGGAGAAAATCCAGATCATGCGTTATTAAACACAGAAATGTCTCAATTGCGTGGTAGTGGCCGTAACAGTGGCAATAAACTGACAGTATATTGCCGAGGTTGATCTTGGCGTCCGTGTCGCTAGAGTCGATTTCTTGCCCTTACCTACATAAGGAAAATAATACGATGTGTTAACTAATGCAACGTGTAGGCGTCCAGTGCGTGGGAATATATATGATATAGTGATCGTTACGTGGCTCTCCGGCCCTAAGCCCTGTTGCTCTTACAATATTACTACAATGCTTATATTATTACTACAATATTATGCTACAATTAATATGCTACAATTTATGAATTATTACTCTACAATATTACTACAATGCAGTACATATACTTACAAATGCGCGACCGATCACTCAACGAAGATATGAGAATATTTTCATTAATGCACCAACTTCCATGTGCAATTTTCGCTGTAGATTCGTTTCCGGCGTGGGAAGTCATTGGCGGAGCAGGCTTTCTACTGATCACGCTAGCCATGATCATTTCCTTCGTCGTGCACAGGTATAATATAATATAATATATATAATTTCAGAACTAACAAAAGGATCAATATCCTAACGGACCAAAAAAAAAGTATCTATATGGTTTCTAAATGCTAGCCCGTCTGGCTGGCTGGTTGACTGACTGTCTGTCTGTCCGTTCGTCCGCCCGTCCGTCGGTCCGTCCGTCCGTCCGTCCGCCCGTCCGTCCGTCCGTCCGTCCGTCCGTCCGTCCGTCCGTCCGTCCGTCCGTCCGTCCGTCCGTCCGTCCGTCCGTCCGTCCGTCCGTCTGGGTGGCTAGCTGGCCGGCTGGCTTTCTGGCTGCCTATCTGTCTGACTATGACCATCTGTTTATCTGGCAGGATGGATGACCGTCTGCCTGTCTAGCTGTCTGTCTGTCTGGCTATCGGCTCGTCCGTCCTTCCGTCCGTCCGTCCGCCCGACTATCTCTCTTCTTCTCATCATCTCTTCCTAATTATCTCTGCCCTTTTGTCCCCATGTTTACGTTTCTTTGCAATTAATTTCTGCAATAGGAAGTACAAGCTGGAGCAAGAGTTGGCGGACATGTCGTGGAAGGTAGTGTGGGCTGACATAGACTTCAGTAAGCACCGCACACACAGTATGGCCTCAGTCAGCAAGTTGTCTATTGTAAGTATAAGGTAATAGTTCTATACAGTTCGCACTGATTCTCAAACTGAGCCAGTTCTCAAAAGAAGCCTGGAAAATGTAAAATTATTTATTGTATCAGACCAAATATCCAAAGAGTGTGCACGTGTCTATTTCTTCAGTGGTCTTGCTCCTAAACTATGGGGCATCTGTAGCTGTTAGATCCGACTGATTAGTCCAGAATGTCCATACATTTAATTTACTAAAATGGTGAATGAATGACATGAATACACATAAAAAAAACGTTTTTCGTTTTCTTGTTCCTTTTAACAAAATACGAATAACTCCCACGACATCAATGCGAAAGAAAATTATTTTTTCTCGAAGTTCCTTGCAACATGCATATGCATCATATGGCATCGTATTTATCAGTAGACATATTTATGAAGCCCAACAATAATACAACTTTTGCGTTACGATCTTATGAAACTCGAATTAAATAGTCAGTTATTATAGTACAAGTAGTCTCGATCAAAACACATAGGTATGAGGTTTATTGCGCTGGTAATACAGATTTAGCGCAATGATTCGGCCGTAGTATCAACATGAAGTCTATCGGCAATATGTAATCTCTGATATATGGCACTTGTGTTAAAATTCGACGTATATTGCGAGCGATATTTAATAGCCTACAGACGGGCGCGCACACAAATTACACACACGCGTACACTCGCACACACACACACGCGCGCGCGCGCACGCACACGCACGCACGGACGCACGCACGCACGCACGCACGCACGCACGCACGCACGCACGCATACACACACGCACAATAACAACAATATATATATACTAGCGGGATACCCGGCGTTGCCCGCGGAAATCAGTGGCGTTACTCAGTTGGTGACCGATTGGTTGAAAGGAAAATATCCAAAAAAATCTAACTATCTATCTATCCATGCACTCATCCATGCATCCATCCATACATCCCATTCCATGCCATCCCATCCCATCCCATCGCACCGCATCCCATCCCATCCCATCCCATCCCATCCCATATCCCATTCCATCCCATCCCATCTCATCGCATCCCATGCGATCCCATGACATCCCATGCCATGCCATGCCATGCCATGCCATGCTATGCCATGCCATCCCATGCCATCCCATCCCATCCCACCCCATCCCATTCCATGCCATCCCATCCCATCGCATCCCATCCCATCCCATCCCATCCCATCCCATCCCATCCCATGCCATCCCATGCCATCCCATGCCATGCCATGCCATCCCATCCCATCCCGTGGCATCGCATGCCATCTCATCCAATCCCATCCCATCCCATCCCATCCCATCCCAAACAGTAAAAAATAATAAGAAATCAAAAGATAAAAGACATTAAAAATAAAAAATAAAAATGAAAAAGTGAGAAATTACAAATAATACATACTAAAAAGGTAGGTTAAGGGAAAAAAAGCAAAAAATGGGAAAAATAAGTTTAGCCATCTGTTGATGAATAGAATTTTTATCAATTTTTAACTTTTTAACTTTTTTTAAATTTTTGTTTCAGCCAGAACCACCTCCCA